TAAATTCCAATAGGCTCCTCAACGTATGTTCTAAGCATCGGGTTTAAGTCTAACAAAGCCTGATTAATGCAGATTAATGCAGTTTGATGAGATAAAGCTTTTCTTGCCTCTCCCCGTTCCCCTGCCCTAGTTCACTGTAACCATGTCTACACAAACGAGAAAAACTTTTTTATAAAAATTACTTTGTTCTAGAAATACTATCGTAGTTCTTGACTTTGGAAATGAGGAAAGTCTAGGATGTTCAGTTGAAGAGATTAGATACGTATCGATTAGGGAAGTAGCAGACTGGAAGGCTAGGCGTACTCGGCGAATCGATCTATCGTATCAGCGCAATTTCCTAATTTTCTGACTACCTCAATTTCCTACACTCCTACTATTCTAATATCCTACCCTATACCCTCCGGCAACTTCATTCGACAAGTATTTAATCTTTCCATTTGAATATCGTAATTTAGACCGACGTCACACTCGGCGACGGACAAGCGATGGAGCGATCGCGATCGCTCCATCGCTGTCCGTCGCCGAGTGTGACGTCGGTCTTACACTTATCCTATCTTCCTACCAAAACGGCTTTCTTATCGTCGCCTCCTATCCTATTCTGAGAAGCTGGAAATTTCCTTATTTTACATAGTGAAACCCATTGCAGCAGGAAAGAAAAGCAAGACAGTGCAAATCTTCTAAATCACAACCACTACATTTTAGCGGAGCTAAAAATATAGATTCTACTCAGTGTACCTGTGGTGGTCCGGGACGGGCGTACATTTGCTGAGGTGGAGCGGCATAGCCAGGTTGCGAAACGGCTGGCAATGGAGCCATAGCTAAAAGGGAAGAGTGATCATGAAGATTTCAATCTCAGTAGGGTGACTATTTTGTCAATCCAATCCTCTGCAACCAGAAGCAGGAGACTTGACAAGTTAGAGATAAAAAACAGCCATTTTTAAACTTCTTGTGAAATCTTCCGAGTGACTTTTGGATGTTTCTCAATCGAAGTTTCACCTTCTTGACAGAATACTGAAGGGCTATCAAACAGTGTCAAGGATGGAAATCGCTCGAAAACTGTACGTTCAGCTGGTTGTTGACAACTTCGGCTAATAAACGAAATGGAACCCACGTTGAGCAGGAAACGCAACTTGATGGAAAGGCACTGTAGAAGCAGCTGGCTCTCTGTGAAGCATTGCAATGGCAACTTGTGGATCGACGATGCGCATGACAACTTGGGCCTAGGAGAAGAAAGACAAATGACTAAAGGAGGAAACATTCCGCAGATCACACTATGACCAAAAATACCTGGAGGAGGGCGTAAGCAAGTTGTGGATTCTGTACAAGCATTTGCTTTGCTTCACTTGGATTCGATCGAACAACATCCTTCATTTGCTTCATCAACTCGAACATTTTCTCAGGTGGAAGTGAGGCTACCGTGCGAGAAATCGCCTAGAAACAAGCTAGAATCTTTTGGAACGGTGAGGAACAAAACACAAATTCGGGAATTACATAATACTCAATCAATTTACCTCAGGCGCACGACCTTCTTCGGGTTCCGGTCCATATGGACTTTCTTCAACCTGAGCGGCACTCAGAGCAGCTTGTAATTGTTGGATCTCATCAACACTACGATCCCCTCCTGCAGCACTGTCAACTCGGAGCTGGCGACCATTCACTTCATATCTTAGAAATCATTAATTAGTAAAATGTGAGGGATGGTGACACATTTAACCTTTTTCAAAGTTTTTACTGCTGGACAACAACTAAGACCGATAAATATCGACAGGAAACAGTAAATAATTCTCAAACACTTCCACATTGCAATCCTATTTCGGAAAAATAAGGAGACAGCACTCACCCATTCAAATTCCTGATAGCCAGTTCAGCAGTCTGCACGTCGAGAAACTCGATGAAACCATAACCCTTTGGCTTGCCAGTTTCACGATCATGAACCATTTTAATATGGACGACATGTCCTACCTAAATATCCTAATCCTACTAACTATATTACTTCACTAAAAAGCTGATTAATGATGTCACACCTTGGAAAAAATTTGGCGGATTGTGTCCTCAGGTACTTCATACGAAATGTTTCCCACTAAATTAGGAATACTTGAACAAGTGTGTAGCTATTTAAAAATAATCAAGGATAAAAATGGCTCACCAAATACAGAACGCTGCGATCTGTCCACTTGCATAGTGTGCCTTCCTATCGAACCACAATTTCTACCTGTAATGGGTTAATTTAATAGCGGATTATTTCCAGCTGCATTCCATTACACGCGGCGCATAGGCTGAGAAAATAAACCAAAACAAATTTAGACAAATAATTACAAAGGGATAACAGCTTAGTTGAAAACATAAATCAAAATGCAAAACGATTTGATTTTGCACTTTTAGGCGATCATTAGGGTGTAGTGAGGTGAATACGAATCAAACACCACAACTGACGACATCTTTATTTAAGAAGGCGACCGGAGAGAAGGTGAGGTAGATGAGGGTCATCTTGGATTAATTTAAAAGAAAAAAACTAATGCAGGTATTAGGTTGGCACAATTTTTGAGGCACTTTCACACTTACGTACACACCTTGTCTCCACATTCTAATGAATGAATAACAAGCCAAGTGTTCCCAGTTGAATGTAGAAGAACACATTTCATTTTGTGAAAAAAAAAACTTTGTAACAGCCTTTTACGTGGGAATCTGCCGCATAAACATGGCACCGGGCAGAGCTAATATCTCTAGGAAACTATTCTAGAGTGAATCAGTTCAAGAAATTATGTACTGTATTGCAGGCTGAAGCAATTACGGTAGCCTCCTTGAGATGGCAGATGATGCGAGATCGCCCACACGATGGCTGAGATAGTTTGCTTGAACGCTTTTCCTTAATGCGGCAAATTGTGTATCGAAAAAATCACTGATGCGCGACATGGGCATGTCTTTTTCGGCTTCCCTCTTCCCCTTGTATGCCACCCACTTGAAAATACCACACATCGCGCCAGAAGGAATAGGATATATCCATTTCTAATGGCTATTGAACTTTACTGGAACACCAATATACAAAAAAATACCGAAAATCTGCAAGAGAAGCGAAAATCAGGTGAAAAGGTAACAATTCCACTTGAAGATCCCCACCC